GGAGCTCCCTACGGGGTCACGAAAAATGTGAGGGGTGGGCCGACATGGGCGCGGTGGCGCCATGCGAGCGAAGCCACTGGGGCCTTCGGTGGAGTTCCCTGTGGGGCCACGGAACGTGTGGGTGCTGTGCCGAAACGGGAGCTGTGGTAACTTGCGGACGCAGCCACTGGCTTGTCGGTAGTGCCCCCTATGGGACCACGGAACGTGCGAGGGCTGTGCCGAAATGGGCGCGATGGCGCCTCGCGAACGAAGCCACTGGGGCCTTCGGTGGACCTCCTTATGGGGCCACGAAACGCATGAGCAGTGTACCGAAATGGGCGCGGTGGTGCCATGCGAACCCAGCCACTCAGCCCTTGGGTTGAGCTCCCTATGGGACCGCGAAACGTATGAGGGCTGTGCCGAAATTTGCGCGGTAGTGCCATACAAACGCAGCCACTGGGGCATTATGTGGAGCTCCCTATGGGCCACGAAACGTATGAGGGGTGTGCCGACATGAGCGCAGCGGTGCCATGAGATCGCAGCCATTGGAGCCGTCGGTGGAGCTCCCCATGGGGCCACGAAACGTCTGAGCGGTGTGCCGAACTGGGTGCAGTGGCGCCATGCGAACGCAGCCACTGGGGACTTCGGTGGAGCTCCCTATGAAGCCAGACATGCGGAGGGCAGAGGATGGGAATTGGAAACGCCCAGGGGTCATACTCTAGAGGCCTACGCGGAGGCGCGGAGCAGGGGGCCTTGGGAAAAAAAACAATTGTTCACTGCGTGGAGCTCCCCATATGTGCATCTACTCGCATGGACCTGTCCGCCGTGAATGTCTAGGCGCAAGAACTTTCGAATATTAACGGACTTCAGTTGTGACGGTCTGGACATCAATCTAACTGCGAATGAATTGGAGTGTGCATGAGCCTCAGTAGTACGAGCGCGTCTCTGTGCATGAGCCTGGGGCCTCCTGGGGCCTCCTGAAACCTACTGGGGCTTCCTGGGGTCTCCAGGAGCCTCTTGGGACCTCCTGGGACCTCCTAGGAAGGTTTCGTGCCCCAGGAGAGGCGCAATCTATAGCAACAGACGTACATAAAACATTGCGGATTAGAGCCACAGGAGAAGGGCAATCTATAGGAACACGCGTAAAACACCAAGGACTCGTGCCCCAGGAGAGGCCCAATACATAGGAACATGAGTAAAACATTTAGGATTGTGTACACAGGAGAAGGACCATCTATAGAAACATACGTAGAACATCAAAGAATCGTGCTCCAGGTGAGGCCCAATCGATAGGAGCATACGTAAAACACATGGGATTGGAGCCACTCCTGTTGCCTTCTGAGGCCTCCTGCTCCTGGGGCCTCTCGGGGCCTCCTGTTGCCTTCCGAGGCCTCCTGGCGCTTCCTGTTGCCTCCTGGGGCCTCCTGTGGTTTCCTGATGCCTTCTGGAGCTTCCTGGGGCCTCCTGGAGCCTCTTGGGACATCCTGTGGCCTCTTGAGTCTTTCTGTAGCCTCGTGATGCCTCCTGGGACCTCATGTGGTCTCCTGGGGCCTCCTGGAGCCTGTTGGAGCCTCCTGTGGCATCCTGAGAAGAATCTGCGCCCACGAGCCTGGCCACCAAAACAAGCAAACCGATCGAGACATCCTCAAAATCTGGCCCACCTGGGGGGTGAAAATGAGCGCCTCGCTCGAGACATCCTCCAAATCTGCTCCGAAAGCGAAGGATGTTGAGCCCAGAAACAAACAAACCGCCTGAGACATCTCCACAAAATTGCAGCGAACGAGCCCGTGCAACCACCCCTGGCGGCTCCCCTTAGGGGTGCTGAAACCAGCGCCCCGCCTGAGACATCCTCACAATCTGCTCTCCAAGCGAAGGATGTTGAGCCCAGAAACAGGCAAACCGCCTGAGACATCCCCACAAAATGGCCGCGAACGAGCCCGTGCAACCACCCCTGGCGGCTCCCCTTAGGGGTGCTGAAACCAGCGCCCCGCCTGAGACATCCTCACAATCTGCTCTCCAAGCGAAGGATGTTGAGCCCAGAAACAAGCAAACCGCCTGAGACATCCCCACAAAATGGCCGCGAACGAGCCCGTGCAACCACCCCTGGCGGCTCCCCTTAGGGGTGCTGAAACCAGCGCCCCGCTTGAGACATCCTCCAAATCTGATGTGTGTTGAGTAAGTCTGAGTATGAGTAGGTATGAGTATGAGTATGCCTGAGTATGAGTAAGTCTGTGTATGAGTAAGTCTGTGTATGAGTAAGTCTGGGTATGAGTAGGTCTGTGTATGAGAAAGTCTGTGTATGTGTACGTCTGGGTATGAGTAAGTCTGAGTATGAGTAATACTGTGTATGAGTAAGTCTGGTATGAGTAAGTCTGTGTATGAGTACGTCTGGGTGTGAGTAAGTCTGTGTATGAGTAAGTCTGTGTATGAGTATGTCTGAGTGTGAGTAAGTCTGAGTATGAGTAGGTCTGAGTATGAGTAAGTCTGAGTATGAGTAAGTCTGAGTATAAGGAGGGGAGGAGGAAAGAGGAGGAGGACGAGGCAGTAGGAGGCGTCCAAGTAATAACAAGAACCCCATCTTAGGATATGGGGGAAAAAAAGCATTTTGCGCATATGACGTTGGCCTTCGTAAACACACGTTCAAACAAGACAGCAACTCCTTCTCGCAATGTTCGGTCGCGCCAGCATTGCCGCAACGACGCGGCGCCCGCAAAGCCATGGAGCCGCGGCCACGGCGCAACCAGTGCCCAGTTTGGTCGAGTGCCGCGAAGCGCAACCCGATGATGTTGCTTAACTTGCTGCCCTCCATATGGTGCCAGGAAGCCGCCGCCAAAACTAAACGAGCAGGCTGGGCACGCGGCCGCCCGCCAAAAAAACGAAAGAATCTGCGCGTGACTGGCTCCAGCGGCAAACGTCGCAACGAGGCTCAGCGGTTTGCGGGCACGTTTGGCATCGCCGAAACAATGCTGATCACCGCGCGACCGAAAAAAAATATCCCGGCAAAGCAACCTAACAGCGATATGTAGAAGCATATCTGAAAGCATTCCCCTTAAGATTCAGATGAAAATCCAGTTGTAGAATTCTGCTGTTCTCGCAGTCGTAGTCGCATTCGCGATGACAGTCGCAGCGGCAACGGCAGTCGCAGTCACAGCCTCAGCCTCAGCCTGCCTCAGCCTCAGCCTCAGCCTGCCTCAGCCTCAGCCTGCCTCAGCCTCAGCCTCAGCCTGCTTCAGCCTCAGCCTCAGCCTGCCTTCAGCCTCGCCTCAGCCTCAGCCTCAGCCTGCCTCAGCCTCAGCCTGCTCAGCCTCAGCCTCAGCCTCAGCCTCAGCCAGCCTCAGCCTCAGCCTCAGCCCTCAGCCTCAGCCTCAGCCTGCCTCAGCCTCAGCATCAGCCTGCCTCAGCATTCAAAATGTGGCCCAGGAATGGAGTTCTGGGAACTAGAAGAACACGAAGTGGCCTACAGTTGGCTCCGGGCATTCAAAATCATGCCCAGGAATGGAGTTCTGGGAACTTGAAGAGCACGAAGTGGCCTACAGTTGGCTCCGGGCATCCAAAATGTGGCCCGGGAATGGAGTTCTGGGAAATCGAAGAGCACGAAGTGGCCTACAGTTGGCTCCGGGCATCCAAAATGTGGCCCGGGAATGGAGTTCTGGGAATCGAAGAGCACGAAGTGGCCTACAGTTGGCTCCGGGCATCAAAATGTAGTCCGGGAATTGAGTTCTGGGAGGTCGAAGAGCACGAAGTGTGTGACTGTTCGCGAAAAACGAGCCCGGCTCTGTTCCCGGTTCTCCAAAAAGTGGCCCGGGAATGGAGTTCTGGGAGGTCGAAGAGCACGAAGTGTGTGACTGTTGGCGAAAAGCGAGCCCGGCTCTGTTCCCGGTTCTCCAGAATGTGCCCGGGAATGGAGTTCTGGGAGGTCGAAGAGCACGAAGTGTGTGACTGTTGGCGAAAAACGATTCCCGGTTCTCCTCCCCGGCACCCGCCCAGACCCCCCTGTGGAGTCCAGATGCTCTCTTTTGACCCTACTAGAAACCTATCAGCAAAAGCTGTTAGGTAACAAAGCGAGGAGACTGATGACAAACCCCCTCCCCACAGTGAGTCCCACCGAAATCCGGAGGTACACCGCACGTCGTCACCGCCCGCACCACAACGCTGTGGATCCTGGAGGGAACATATCAGGCGTAGCACGAGGGGGTGGGGAAACATGCCATGCGAGGAAGCGGGGCGACGCGGACGACGCACAGAAAGAACAACTCGATGATGGCGGGGCGACAGGCGAGGGCGGAGCGCGAGCGCAAACATCGCACGGCACAAGAACTTCCCCTCATGGGAAGAGGGAAGAGGGGGAGGTGGAGGAAGGAGTGAGAGAGGAACGCGGGGCGCTGTCTCTTCAAAACGAGGACCCAGCACAAACAATGATGTAAACAAAGATGTGCCGGGGCAGGTACATCCAGGGCGTCGAAATGAGGGGCAGTTCTAAGTTCGGCCTGGGCTCGGATTTCCTCAGGCCGTTCCTCACGGCCCCAGCAGAACACCTCGAACTCTAACCCGACCCATTCCTTATCACGCATCTCAGTCTCAATCCGAAGCCTGAAATAAACGTCCCCCAGAAGACAAGGGATTCGTTTCCAAAGGCATGTTCTTCTTGGCAAGAAGCCATGGAAACGGGAGCCAAAAATACCCGCCAGTCGGAAGAAGTAGTGGAAACATGAAGCAGGAAGGCGGATAAAGTAGATTGGCCTCGGGCCCACCCGCAGAATCAGAAGACACAACAAAAGCATATGGATTCTTGAAGTAGGAAGGCGCTTGAAGTAGATTGGGAACTGGATATCCAAAAATACAAACGTTCAACGACTGGTGTGTACACCACAACCACCACCCTGCCCCTGGGACGGCGCACACGACGCTCCCGGCCACCACCAGGAGGGCCCATGCAGGCGACATCGTCCCAGGGAGCACACGGGGCCCTGGCCAGAGCACGGCGCCGCGGAAGCCGGCTGGGCGGAGGGGCAGCCCGTGGCCTCGTCGCCGCCCGCCGCCATGCGCCCCCTGCCGCGCGCGTCCAGTGGTCGCGGAGGCGGCCCTGTCGTTCGGGTGGTAATGGGTAGCGGCCTAAAGGGGGGGGGAAGAGAAGGGTCCCAAAGAGGCTCTTTAGGGCCACTTTTGGTCCCCTCGCCATCGCTCGGACGTCCATTCCCCGTGCATGTTTCGGCTTCGTGCGTCTTGCAAGATCACCCAAAAGTCTCCTCAATGGTCCACGCCGAAGAGTAAACACACACGTCCGAGCGATGCCAAGTAAATGGGGGGGGAAGAGAAGGGTCCTAAAGGGGCCCCTTTAGGGCCCCATTTGGGCCCCTGCTGGCCCCATTTCGGTTACCCCCCAACTCCTCGGGGAAATCCAGAGCTGGGGCAGTCAGGCTTTGCCGGATCCTGCAAGATCCTGCACGATCATGCAAAATCATGCACCGCAGACCCGGGACAATGCACCCCTGGCTCTGCAGGATCCGGCCAGATCCGGCCGCCCGAATTACCACCCGCGCGACCCTGGGGGACTCAAATCGGCCGCCGCCGCCGCCGCCCCAGGCCCGCCCGGCGACCAGGGGGGTGGCGCCGCCCCCCACTGGGGCTTGGTGGGCGCGGGCGGTTGGGCAACCCGCGCGCGGCGACGACGACGACGACGACGACGACGACGACGACGACGACGACCACGCCGACCACGACGACGACCACCACCACCACCACCACCACCACCACCACTACCACCAGGGGCGGGCGCCGATCGGACCCACAGGGGTGGGGCAGGGTTCGCAAGCTGGTGCGAGAGTGCGACCCTGCCGTACGGGCGGCCCGAGCTTTCCTCGTGGGAGCACAGTCAACCATCGGGAGAGAGAGGGTGAGCGTTTCTGTATTCGACGTTTCGACATTGGGCGGAAGGGGGGAAGGGGTGGGTCTGGCTCCGGACCTCTGCTTAGTGCGACTGTTTGCAGCAGTGGGTCCTGTGAGGGAAGACTCCACCTGCTCGAAGCAGGCGCCCAAAACAGCCAAGATGTACTCCATGGGGGGGGGAGGGGGGGAGGGGGCCCGCGCCGATCGGCAAAACACTGAATCAAAAACGATCCCGACAGAGAGAGAGAGAGGGGTAGAGAGAAAAAAAGGGTAGAAAGTGAAGGGTAGAGAGAGCGGGAGGGTGGAGGCAAGAGGCGAAAGCGAGAAGGGAGGTCACCCCACGAGCAGCTGTCATGGAAGGGCCAACCGCCGAAATTCGCTGGTCATTCAAACGAGGTGGTCGCAAACCACCCGCACTTCGCTTGAGACAGGGGCAAGCGACACCGCAGCGGAGACTCCTCTTTTCTCCGCCCTGGCTCGCGCGAGCAAGCTTACTGGTATTCCTCTGCTCGCGCGCTCGCGCGCGCGAGCAGCCTGCCAAAGCGGGCGGGAGCAAACATAGCCTGGCAAAGAAGAAAAAAGGTGAAGTGAGCGAGGGCTCCGCAGGCCTGGGCCCGTTGCCCAGCAGTCCAAGGATGACAAGGAAGGACAACGATGCAAGAATGCCCTCAGGAGTGCACACCATGCGGATTATTTATTATTATTTTTTTGACTGGATGGGCGCCGATCGCTGCTCGACGGCCGTTACTCTGTGTGTGCCTGTTTGGCTCGTCTTTGGCGAAGCTTCGCCGACGGAACGCACCAAATGCAGACAGCTGGGCGTGGCACGTCGAAACTGGCTTTCGCGCAAGCATCGGACGGAAATAGCCAGTGGGAACAGTGACCAACGCCAGCAACTACGGCGGACACGACGACGACGACAACGACGGCGACGACGACGGCCAGCCGATGATTGATGAGAGGTTGGGGGGTGAGATCGCAGTGGAACGGAGACCCCCGACACGGAAATCGTTTCGTTTCGTTCGTGTCGTGCGTGCGGGCGAGGCGAAGCTGCGTGGGCGCGCGAGAGGAATGAACCCGCCGTTGCTAGGGCGAAGTCAAAACAAATGATGCTCACCCTCCCGCCCGTCCGGCGGTGGCTCGCGGTGTCCCGCGGTGTCGCGTGGTGTCCCGTGGTGTCCCGTGGTGTCCGCCGCTGCTAGGGCGAAGTCAAGACAAATGATTCTCCCCCGCCCGCCCGTCCAGCGGTGGCTCGCGGTGTCCCGTGGTATCCCGTGGTGTCCCGTGGTGTCCCCTGGTGTCCCGATTAGTGAGATCGATAGTGAGATCGATAGTGAAATCGATAGTGAGATCGATAGTGAAATCGAAACTGAGATCGAGCACTGTGCCCCGAGGTGCCCCGTGGTGTCCCGTGGTGTCCCAAAAAGTGAGATCGATAGTGAGATCGATAGTGAGATCCACAAGTGAGATCGAGAGGTGTCCCGCGGTGTCCCGTGGTGTCCTGTGGTGTCCCGTTAAGTGAGATCGATAGTGAGATCAATAATGAGATCGATACTGAGATCGATGTGGTGCCCCGAGGTGTCCCGTGGTGTCCCAAAAAGTTAGATCGATTGTGAGATCGATAGTGAGATCGACAGGTGTCCCGTGGTGTCCCGTGGTGTCCCGTTGAGTAAGATCGATAGTGAGATCGATAGTGAGATCGGTAGTGAGATCGATGTGGTGTCCCGAGGTGTCCCGTGGTATCTTATGGTGTCCAGCTGAGTGAGCTCAATAGTAAGATCGATAGTGAGACCGATGTGAGATCGAGAGGTGTCCCGAGGTGTCCCGTGGTGTCCTGTGGTGGTCCGTGGTGTCCCGTGGTGTCCCGTTGAGTGAGATCGATAGTGAGATCGACAAGTGAGATCGACAAGTGTCCCGTGGTGTCCCGTGGTGTCCCGTGGTGTCCCGTGGTGTCCCGTTGAGTGAGATCGATAGTGAGATCGATTGAGTCAGGTGCTGGTTCCCCCCCTCTCCCCCCCACAACCTCCTTATGACCCGAAGGGTGGTCGTATAGGTATGCGAGGAAGGAGGCGGCAGAGGCGAACACACAGCCTGTTACTCTACGTCAAAGGAAAAGTGGTCTCAGACACGCCCGAGCGCATCTCCCACTCAGAAGGTTGCCCAGTGCGCGGTGCCCGCCTGGGAGCGCTCACCCTCACCTTGCCTGACGTCCCAACGCTCTGGGCGTTCACTTCCTTGTCTCCGTGTTCTCTCTCCGTTGTCCTACTGTCGTCATCGTCATCGTCTGTATCGCCGCCATCGTCTGCGATGCGACACCGCATTCATTCCTCCTCGGCTGATAATAGATTTGGGTATGGTGACACCATCGCCGTCACTGCCAATGCCATCGTCGTCAAGCTAGTGCACGCGGCTGCTGTCGTCGCCACCGCCGTCGCCCTGTCGCCGAACCGCACCGCGACCCGCTGTGTCGGTGAAGATCTGGCCAGAAGCCACCTGGTAGACTGCAAGAGGAAGGAGGTTCCAGAAAATGGCGAATCTGCCTGGCAGAAGGGAAGGGGGAGGAGGCGGAGGAGGAGAACCGAATTGGCCGGAACATTCGCAGCAGACTGCAAAGGGTATAAGGTTCCAGGAAGCGTTCGGTCTGACTGGCAACAGGAGGAGGATCGCACCCCGATCCGAAGTTCCTCAAAGGTCCCCGAAAGGTCCCCCGAGGTCCCTCGAGGCCGAGGCCTTCGGAAGACTCTGGGGACCTGCGGGGACCTCCAGTCCTCCAGTGAGCTCGGGATGGTGGGCCTAGAAGGTCAGGGGTACCCAAAAGAAAGGCAATATCGAAAACCCTCAGAGCTGCTTCCTACTCCCATATCCTCCTCCCTCCTCCCTCCCTCCCTCCCTCCTCCGCCTCCCTCCTCCTCCTCCCTCATCCCTCCTCCCTCCCCCCTGATCCCTTCTCCCTCCTCCTCCTCCTCCTCCTCCTCCTCCTCCTCCTCCTCCTCCTCCGCCTCCTCCTCCTCCTCCGCCTCCTCCTCCTCCTCCGTCTCCTCCTCCTCCTCCGCCTCCGCCGCCTCCTCCGCCTCCGCCTCCGCCTCCGCCTCCGCCTCCGCCTCCTCCTCCTCCTCCTCCTCCTCCTCCTCCTCCTCCTCCTCCTCCTCCTCCTCCTCCTCCTCCTCCTCCTCTCCGCCTCCGCCTCCGCCTCCGCCTCCGCCTCCGCCTCCGCCTCCGCCTCCGCCTCCTCCTCCTCCTCCTCCTCCTCCTCCCTCCTCCTCCTCCTCCTCCTCCTCCTCCTCCTCCTCCTCCTCCTCCTCCTCCTCCTCCTCCTCCTCCTCCTCCTCCTCCTCCTCCTCCTCCTCCTCCTCCTCCTCCTCCTCCTCCTCCTCCTCCTCCTCCTCTTAGGTGGTTCGGCAGCGGGCGCTCGTCGGGTCCCCGCCCGCTTCGATGTGCCCCCAGCCCCGCGGGGAGTGCCAGGGACGGGCGCGCGATCGACCTCGCCCGGGTGGGAACGCCGCCGGCGGCGCCGCGGTGGGTCTGCTGCTCCTGCAGGCCCACCGCGGCAGCTCGCCCCCTGACGGCATGGCTTGGCATGATGGTGCGCCCTGGCCGAACCGTGACTCGACCCGTGAAGGTAACCTACGTTCAAAGAAGAAGAAGAAGAAGAAGACATACAACGAAGGCTCCCTCTGCGGCGACTGGGAGTACTCGAGGTGGGGACATTGGCAGTGCAGCAAGTGCCAGGGTCCGTGCCTCACTGGAGCTGACGGGGACGCAGCGCCAGCGGATGCTCACCCGCGCGGCGCCGCTCAGGTTCAGGCCCAGGGCCCAGGCCAGCAGCCTGCCCAACCTGGTGCCATTCCCGCGGAGCTCGCGACGCAGCTCCAGCAGTGGACTGGCGTGGTCCAGCAGGCCGAGGCTGCTCCCACTGAGATCGTCGACCTCTCCAACCTTGAGCTCGACCACCCCGCGTTGAAGCAGCAGGCTAAGCTCGCCAGGCAGGTCGAGTCCGCTGCCAGGGCGGAGAGGCTCTCGCCCATCAGGATGTACAGTGGAAACTCGATCGAGTCAAAGGTGTACCGAAACGAGCGCGGCGGCATGCGAATCCTGTCATGGGACCCTCGGTGGAGCTCTCAATGGGACCACGAAATGTGTGAGGGATGTGCCGAAACGCTGTCCCGCCGAAAACAACTGTAGAACCCCTTACGGGGCCACGAAGCGTGTGACGGGTGTGCCGAGATGGATGCGATGTGTCCCACTGGCACGCTCGGTGAACCTCCCTATGGAGCCACGAGACGTGTGAAGGTGCCCCAAAGTACGCGGGGCGACGCCATGAAATCCATCCCACTGGGACCCTCGGTGGACCCCCCTACGGGACCATGAAACGTGTGAGAGGTACTCTGGAACGAACAACGCAACGCAACGCCCGATAGGCCCAGGGCCAGTCCTGACTCAAATCACGGCTGGAGGCGCGCCGTGTGCTTCGAAAGTGACGCGTGCGTGCGGCAGAAGGCCACCGTAAGTCTTTGCATGAAGGTAAAGCGTGTAACACTAGGCGTACTCGAATATGAAGGCACCGTGCGAGCATTCCGAAAAACTTATCACTGCTGCCAGCCGAAGCTGGAACACATTCCAGGGCAAAGAGCGAGGGGACCAGGCAGGCCACAACGAGATCATCTCGAACTCTGGGGACAGCCGCGCCGACGTGTGGGGCACGAATCACATGTGACAGGAAAGAACGAACGACTGATGCGCTCAGCGAGAGGCAGGAGGAGGAAGAGGAGGAGGAGGAGGAGGAGGAGGAGGAGTTGGAGCTGGATGTCGGCGGCGAGCCCAGGGGGTAAGTGAGAAGGGGCGTGCCTTCTCAGAAGGCTCGGAAGTGCCCTGGCCTTCCCCGAAGACATAGGAAAATTCTCATCAGGCCAGGGGGTTTCTGTAAAGCCCCGCGGCCTTCTGAGAGGGCCTTCTCCTTCTCACTTCCCCCCCTCGCTCGCCGCCAAGGATGCGCGGCGGTGTGGATTCAAAACAACGCCCCAACTCAACACGGGGCGGTCGAGAGCAGAAGAACAGGGCGGCATCCACTTCACAGCAGGGCTCCCGTCTGCCGGGGCTGGGGCACTCGTCGTCGTCGTCGTCGTCATCGTCGTCGTCGTCGCCCGTCGTCGTCGCCCGTCGTCGTCGTCGTCGTCGTCGTCGTCGTCGTCGTCGTCGTCGTCGTCGTCGTCGTCGTCGTCGTCGTCGTCGTCGTCGTCGTCGTCCTCGTCGGCGGCGGCGGCGGCGGCGCGCGCAGACCGCGCGGGGCCTGCAGGGCCTGGGCCGACTGGAGCTGGCTGCCTACCAGACATCCCCAACCCAACCCGAAGACCCAAATTTCGGTTCAGGGGGAGTACAATGGGACGCACAGAGACATATTAATACTATATGTCCGCCTTGGAGGCGCGCGTCCGACCCGAACATATAGTATACCCATCTTGTAGTATATCGTTTCTCGAGCGGTGTGGCCAGAAAGCGCCCGCCACGACGCATATACTACCAGATTTCTCGGTGCGCGCGTCGCCCCTGGGGGGGCGACGAACACATAACATAAGTATGTTGGGGGGATGCCGATACAATTAGCAAGAGCCCGGAAGGGCATGTCGGCACTTTCGGACGGGGCGCGGCCCGCGAGAGCGGCCAAGGGTGGGCCGCAGGGGAAGAATACAAGAGTAAGCTTGGAAAGTCGTTCATCTTGCTATGCGGGTGGACTGTACGGGCTCCATGTGTTCTATGAGCGGGTAGGGTCGGGATGGTGTGGTGGGTGGTGAGGAATGGGAGGAAACGCATCCTGGGTTTACTGTAGCCTTGCCTGGGACATCCTGCCTCTTCAACACTCACAGAGCGAAGGAGGCGCGGCACCACATAGGGGGCCTCGGTTAAAGGCGGTCAGCCAGATACATATGATCCAACCAATCCAAACCAAAATGGTGCATGAACGTCATCCGTGAGAAGGGTGCACGGCCCGCACGGCTCAGAGAGGAAAATGCACACCGCCCGACTGTCAAGCAGACGGCTCCACTGGGGATTGGTGAGCCTCTCATCCTCGCCACGGGCCCGAAAGGCACTCGATGCCTTGCGCACGCCACATCAAAGACAACACGTACGAAGAATCTGCCACATCTGAGAAGGCAAATTGGCACACGAGTGCGTGGAACAAACTGGCCATGGTCATTGGTGCGGGTGCTCATCTCTGAACAAAGACCCCCAGCCCTCTGCGAGCCTGGCCCCAGGAGCCCAGAAAGGGGAAATCCGCCCCAAAGGGCCCCTGGGCCACGGGAGACGACCGTTTCTGAGCATTTGCACCTGTTTCTTCTTAACATTAAAGCAACCTCCTACTAAGTCTCTCGGGTGGCGGCCTGAGGTGTAGCTACCACATCGGTTGCAGAAGAGAATGCCTTGCCCCGTGGCCAGCACCCTGGCCACCCTGAACGAGTGGGGGGGGGAAGGGGGAACAGGAGGGCAAAGGAGGGAGCGGAGGGAAGGGGCAAGGGGGCCACAGGCCGAACTCTCGGCCGCTTTCGCTGTCCGAAAAGTTCGGGCACAATCATAACACTGCCAAACATTGCCCATCCATCTGATTTTGTGGGCAAGATAGACATGCTGGAGCTTCTCAGGCCTGGCACGCGGGGCCTTGCCTAGCTCACCAAACAGTTCGCGTGCTGGGGGCCACTCAGCTAAGACAGCCCCAGCGAAATCAGCAACTTGGTTCCATTTCTTAAGCTGTGCGGTGATGGTGGCCACATCTTGGGGGGACCTATAAAAACCCGCAGCTTCCTTGGCATACACATCGGCCCAATTGTTGCCGCGTGTCTTCCACCTGGGTTGGGTCTCTGAGTCTTCCTCTAAATGGGCTTTCACCTTGTGGATGGTCCAGGCCCTGGGGGTCACCCGCTTGATCCGCCTCCAGTGGCCGCTCTGGACCGTGGTACCTCTCGAGGCCTTCATCATGTCCTTGGAGCCCCATATAAGCGCAGAGCAATCCACGAACGCGTTCAGATCAGCCTCTTCCTCTGGGGGGGGGTCCTGGTCCTGGTGCTCGATCGTGTGCATCAACCCATGGCGCTCGGCAAGCACTGCTGTTTGGGGAAGCCCACGAGCGATGGACCCCATCAGCCCCCTGATCAGGTTCCCATCATCGTCCACCTCCACAGCGGCCCAACCCCCTCGGGCTCCCACATCAGTTTTTGGGTCCCAGACAGAGCCGTCCGAAAAAACCTTGGCGTTGTGCGGGAGGGTGAACGGGTCAATCGGCCCATTCTCGTCGAAATATCTGACAAGGTCCTCTACTGGGGCCTCCAGCTCAATCTCGGGCACAGGGATCCACAGCGAGCTGAACAGCGGGTCCTGCTCGCCAGCCGTGAGGGCCTCCTCGAGAAGGTCCTGATCCAGCGCAATCCTAGCAGATGCCCCATGAGGGCAAATCCAGATCCTGTGCCACACGGAATCTATGGCCTCACAGAACTTACAGAATGGGGTAACTTCATATCCCCACCGATTTAGCGAAGCCGCGGTGGTGTACGCACGACAGAAAACCTTACGGATAATCTTTTTCTGGGCAAAACTACACCCTTTGCTTCGCATCCTCGAACGAATGGGCTGGGTCCAAAGGCCTCGCTCCTGAATTTCGAGCACCCTTGGATGATCCCAATCCTGAACTATCTTGTTGACGCTCTCCTCCTCCTCCTCCTCCTCCTCCTCCTCCTCCTCCTCCTCCTCCTCCTCCTCTTCCTCCTCCTCCATCCTTTTCCTTATCAATATCCTCCCTGTCGCACCCCGAGACGTGTTGGTAAGGCGGGCCGGGAGGGTCGCCTGAGACTTCCCCACCATGTATGATCCTGGAGCTGAAAAAAATGCAACTGTTGCGCACATTCGATTTTAAAGTTTGAAGGAGTTTCACGGGAGGGCGGGAGGTGTTCAAACTATGGTTCTCGCCTTCGAGTCACGCACATTTGCCATAAAAGTTCGCAACGGCTTCGAGTATGAAGGGCGGGTGGTTCTCACAATGTAGATCTCGCCTTAGCACTGCTTCAAGCATGAAAGGCGGGTTGTGGCTCTCGCTGTGGCGTCACGCACATGCGTCGTAAAGTTTGAAAGAGCTTCACGGATAGAGGGCGGACGGCTTTCTTCAAGATGTGGCTCTCGCCTTAGCGCCACGCACATTCGCCTGAAAAGTTCGCGACTGTTTCGAAGATGAAGGACAGTTCCTTGACAAAACAGGGTTCTCGCCTCATCGCATGCAAGAGCTTCACGGATGGATGACGGTTCCTTTTCAAAATGTGGCTCTCGCCTTCAGCGCCACACACACACACACTCGTCCTAAAATTATACGACATGTTCAAAAACTACTACATTTGACGTCCCAGGAGCCACGTCTCGGCACGATTTAGGAATGTCAGGGCACCACACTGAATTACATTGATTCGCGGAGTTAATGAAAGTCCCCGGAATGGTTGTTCTGTTAATTCAAGATCGTCAGGGCGCAACAGGAAAGTTGATTTCGGTACGAATGGGGATTATCAAAGGCTGGTATATCCAAACGCGAAACTTCCCGCAGGAAAAAAAGAAGTGTAGGGGCCTATGAGGAGGGATCTTGGAGGGAGGGTGCATTGTAATGTAACATCGTTGATGCGCCTTGGGCTTACACTGATCCTCCTCCTCATCACGCGTTCCTGCGCGGCCTGGGTGCGCCGCCGTGCATCCCATTATAGGCTCGGACGCGCCGCGCGGCCGCCGGCGCCGCGACAACAAAAAACGTGAGGCAAAACCGTTCACGTGACCTGGGCTCACTCTGGTCCTCCTCCTCCTCCTCCTCCTCCTCCTCCTCCTCCTCCTCCTCCTCCTCCCCCTCCCTCCTCCTCGTCCTCCTCCTGTCGACGTCGCTGATGCCATTAGATTCGGGTACGGAGCTGCCCACCCCTCCTCCTCCTCCTCCTCCTCCTCCTCCTCCTCCTCCTCCTCCTCCTCCTCCTCCTCCTCCTCCTCCTCCTCCTCCTCCTCCTCCTCCTCCTCCTCCTCCTCCTCCTCCGTTTGTCCACAGGCCCCATCTTGGGCACGCACGCCAGACGCGTGGAGCTCCCCTGAGCAGCGAGCAGAGGCGGGAGCAGCGAGAGAAGGAAGAACGAGCAGGACCCAGACCTCCGCCGCCAGGAGGTTTTCACGGCGTGGACCCTTGAGCTCTCGACCCCGTCCCTGGGGCCGCGTGTCTTTCCTCCGTGGGGCCCTCGGGGCCAAAAAAACGGCGGGCAGAGATCGGGGAGAAACGCCAGTCGTGCTTTCTGCTTCGTGGCGTCGGCGTCTGGCTGGAAGGAAGGGGGGGAGCGAGGAGGGAAGAAGAGGGATGAAGGGAAAGGAGGAAGGACGAGGGAGGAGGAGGAGAGATACGAAGGAAGGAGTAAGAGAAGGACAGAACGGAGGAGAAGGAGGTGGAGGAACAGTGCAAACCCAAGAAGCATCAAAGATGTCGCAATAAACCCTCCTTCCAAGTTCACTCTTCATAGGCCCATGCATGCAACTAATTCTCACTGCGGGAAGTGCCCCATTGAAAGACAACAATATGAGAATCCTCAGAGTCGTGCCGAAACACCATCCATGGGACTTAGACACCGCGAGTCAACTTACCGTTGCGCCCTCAAACACTGAGTCGTGCCAGAACACCACCCCTGGGATTTCAACACCGCGAATAAATCTAAACTCTGCGTCCTGACAGTCCTCAGTCGCGCCAGGACAACATTTCTGGGACTTCCACACTGCGATGCAATGTGACGGCTGTGTCCTGACAACCCCAAGCCGCGCCAGAACAGATGTCCTGGAACTGAAACCTTGCGAAAACTTGACACTGTTGCAAACCTTTGAAACATGCGTTCGGCGCTGGGGCGAGAGCCACGAGCCACATTTTGAAAAACAGCCACCATCCATCCTTGAACTGTTGCACGTTTCAAACTTCAAGATCATAAATGGTGACGAAAGCTCAAGCGAAACGCACGGCCCACCCTGCCGACACGTCTGGGGTGCGACAGTGAAGAGGTGTGTATCAGAAAAAAAGATGGGGGAGGAGGAGGAGGGAAGAGAAGGAGGGAAGAGGAGAGACGAGGAGGGACGAGGAACAGGGAGGAGGAAACCTTGGGAGCGAGCGCGTGGATAGGCTGAGACAGGCAGGTAGGCTGGGGCGGCGGGGCGTCCTTGGTGCCCAGCGACTCCTGGAGGTTGTCCTCCTTCTGGTCGTGGAAGCCTGCACGGGAGGATGAGGATGGAGGAGAGGGAGGAGGAGAAGGAGGAGGAGGAGGAAGAGGGAACGGGGGGACGGGACGGGACGCGACGGACGAGGACAGAGAGCGTAGATGTGGAGGAAAAGGAGGCAAGGGGAGAAGAGAGGAGCAGAAGGGAAAGGGGAAGGAGGAGGAGGAGGAAAATGTGACACAGGCGGGAACCCAGAGGAGAACGAGGAAGACGACGACGTCGTCGACGACGACGGCGACAACAACGTGACGACGACGACGACGACGTCGAGGACGGGAACAAGGTTTCCAGACTTCTCCGGCCTAGAGTCCTCTTCTTCATCAGACTCACCAGCACCGTCATCGTCTACCACCATAATTGTTTTCATCAGCATCATCATCATCACCACCACCACCACCATCATCATCATCATCATCATCATCATCATCATCATCATCATCAGCATCATCATCATCATCATCATCATCATCATCATCATTCTCATCAGCATCATCCTCATCATCATTATCATCATACTCATCATCATCATCATCATCATCATCATCAGCATCATCATCATCATCATCAGCATCATCATCATCAGCATCATTATTATCATCATCACCATCAACATCACTATCATCATCATCATCATCATCATCAGCAGCAGCAGCAGCAGCAACAACAGCAGCATCACCATCACCACCATCCGTGCCCTCCTCCTGGTCCTACTGGTCCGCCTCATCCTCGCCATCATCATCCTCATCAGCCTCTGCACCATCACCACCATCATCATCATCATCATCATCATCATCATCATCACCACCACCACCACCACCACCACCATCATCATCATCATCATCATCATCATCATCATCATCATCATTCTCATCAGCATCATCCTCATCATCATTATCATCATACTCATCATCATCATCATCATCATCATCATCATCATCATCATCATCATCATTATCAGCATCATCATTATTAGTATCATCATCATCACCACCATCGTCATCATCATCATCATAATCATCATCATCACCGTCCGCAGCCTCGTCCTCCCCCCACTGGTATTTGTTGTAAGAAAAATTAGTTTACTCATGATATGAATATTATTAGTATGACTACTGCAGCGTAATGAAAGATCGGCGAATGTTTGACATCACGATCATCATCATCATCATCATCATCATCATCATCATCATCACCGCCACCATCATCATCATCATCAGCACCATTACTTTCATCCGAATACCTATACGACCGGCGGTCGGGTAACAAGGAGGTTCGGGGGGATTCAACGTCTCACTCAATCGGTCTCACTATCGATCTCACTATGGATCTCACTACATATCGATCTCACTATCAATCTCACGATCGATCCCAAATTCAATATCACTATTGATCTCCCTATCCCTATCACTATCGATATCACTATCGATCTCAATATCGAGCTCACTATCGATCTCACAATCAATCTCAACATCGATCTCACTGCGTACCGATCTTCTTATCGACAACACGATCGATGCTACTATCAGACTCACTATCGATGATCTCACTACTGATCTCACTCTCGATCTCACTACTATCGGTCTCACTATCGATCTCATTATCGATCCCACTGCCGGACACCGACGGGACGCCGACGGGACACCCGCGGGACACCCCCAGCCACCGCAGGATATCCGGGGTGAGGGCGGTCTTGTGGCCCAGCGGCGCCCTAGCAAGAGGACGGTTCATTCCTCTCGCCCGCCCACGCAGCTTCAACTGGCCCGCAAGCACAGCCCGAACACGAAAAAGTAGACGAAACCGATTTCCTGGTGGGGGGCTCTCCGTTTCAATGCAATCTCACCCGCTCACCTCCGATCCATAATCAGATTCGTATTCATCGTCGCCGTCACCCAACCCCCACCATCAATGTCGTCGGCACAACAATTGAAATCACTATCGTCATCCTCCTCATCGCCACCACCATCATGACCATCCCCATCACCACCACCCAACATCACCATCATGACCATCATCGTCATCATCACGACCACCATCACCTCGACCACCATCATCCCCATCACCACCACCACCACCACCACCACCATCACGATCATCATCATCATCAGCATCAGCAGCAGTATCGCCATGACCATCATCGTCATCATCAACATCATCATCACAGTCTTTCCTGAGCAGCAGCATCATCACCATCATCACAATCATGAGCATCATCACCATCGTCGTCGTCATGAACCTCATCATCACCATCACCATCACCATCATCATCACCATCACCACCATCATCATCATCATCATCATCATCATCATCATCATCAGCTTCATCATCATCGTCATCATCATCATCGTCGCCGTCGTCATTAAAAGTATTGTCATTAACATCATCATCATCATCATCATCATCATCATCAGCATCAGTATCATCATCATCATCAGTATCATCATCATCATCATCATCATCATCATCATCATCATCATCATCATCATCATCATCATCATCATGATCATCATCATCATCATCATCATCATCATCATCATCATCATCATCACCATCAATATCATCATCGTCAACCTCCGTGTTCCCAACTCCCTCGTCCCCACTGACAACTTACTTCCTCCCCCCTTCCCATCCCCCTCCTCCCCGCACCGCGTCCCCACTCCTCCTACTCCTCCTCCTCCTCGTCCTCCTGCTCCTCCTCTTCCTCCTCCTCCTCCTCCTCCTCCTCCTCCTCCTACTCCTCAACCACCTCCTCCTCTTCCTCATCCTGCTCCACCTCGTCGTCCTCCTCCTCGTCATCATCATCCTCTTCCTCTCCTCCTCATCCTCATCATCATCAGCATCATCACCACCACCACCACCACCACAATCATCATCATCACCATTATCATCATCATCATCATCATCATCATCATCATCATCATCATCATCATCATCATCATCATAATCATCATCATCATCATCATCATCATCGCCATCGTCATCGCCATCATCATCAGCAGCATCATCATCATCATCAGCAGCATCACCATCACCATCATCATCATCAAAATAATCATCTTCATCATCATCAGCATCATCATCATCATCATTAGTATCATCATCACCAGCATCATCACCACCAACAACAACACCACCACCACAGTCATCATCACCATAACATCATCAGCAGCATCACCACCACCACCACCACCACCACCATCATCATCATCATCATTATCATCAGCATCATCCTTATCATCGACATCATTATCATCATACATCATCACCAGAATTATCAGAATCAGCAGCAGCAGCATCAGAATTATCATCATCAGCAGCAGCATCATCATGTTATTCATCATCACCATCACCGGCATCATCAGCAGCAGCAGCATCATCAGCATCTTCATGGTCATCATCAGCATCATCATGGTCATCATCTACATCCTCATCCTCATCCTCATCCCTCACTCCCTCCCATTCTCCCTTTTTCCCTCTTTCCCTCCTTCCCCTCCCCCTCCATCTTCCCCTCCCTCCCTCTTTCCCCCCAGACCTCGCATCCATCCCTCCTCTCGGCTCTCTGATCCCTTCTCTTCTCTCGGCCGCTTCGGCACTCTCCAGGGGCCCTCTCGGAACCCCTTCTCTGGGAACTTTGCGGCGGGCCCGCCTCACGACGGTGGCGGCGGCCTCGGGGAGAGAGCTCCTTTCTTTTCACGTGCTGGTCCTGCTCCTTCCCTCTCCACCCTCCAGAGAGACGACGGCGTGCCCGCCGGCCTGCGGCCACGGGGTCCACGCTGATCTCGCGGGCCGTCCACACGAAAGCGAACGCGGCGCCTGCGAGCGCCGGTTCAGGGGCCGTGGGAGCCGGACGAGACGACAACAACGACGACCACGACGACGATGAGCACCACGAAGACCATGAACACCACCAAGACGACGCCCGCGCCGCAGCCGCCGCCGCCGACGACGACGACGTTCACGACCACGACAACGACCACGTCTACGACCACGACCACGACCACGACCACGGCCACGACAACGACCACGACGACGACGACGACGATGACGACCACGACGACGACAACAATCACGGCCACGACCGCGGCCACGACCACGACCACGACCACCACGACGACCAACATCACGACGACGACGACGGAGACGACGACGACCACCACCACCACCACCACGACCACGACTTCGACACCGACGACGACGACAACGATCAAGACCACCAAGACGCCGCCACCGCCGCCACCGACGGCGACGACGACGACGTAGACGACAGCGACAGCGACAGCGACGACAAGGACGAGGACGGTGGGGGCGACGTCGACGGAGAGGGAAGAGGGACTGGGACGAGACCGGGAAGAAGGCTGAGCGAGAGGAGGAAGATGACAGCGACGGCGACGAGGCCGAAGACTTGGACACAAACAGGAAGACGTGGAAAAAAAGAAACGAGGAGGAAGACGAACAAGAATATGCAGGCAATATAGGAGGAAGGAAGACGAGAACGGCAAAAACGATGACGACGATGGGGCACGGGGCTGAAGGGAAAGGGAAAAGAAAACAGGGACCAGGCAAGAGGGAACGAGGAACGGCGCAGAGGTCTGGGAGGGAAGAAGGACGTCGGAAAACTGGAAGAGGGCTGATGTTGATGATGATGATGATGATGATGATGATGATGATGCTGATGATGGTGGTGATGGTGATGGTGTGATGAAGATGGTGATAATGTTCGTGATGGATATGGTGATGGCGACTATGAAGGTGATGGTGATGATGATGATGATGACGATGATGATTGTGGCGATGATGGTGGTGATGACGATGATGGTGATGATGCGGATCATGGTGATGATGGAGGTGATGATGCTATTGATTATGATGATGACAAAGAGGGGAAGATGGGCTGGAAGGGAGGGTGAGAGGGAGCGATCGAACACGATAAGATTTGGCGAACGAAAATCCAAACGCTCAGAAGCAAAAAGATGATAGAACGAACGAACACCAAAGCGGACAGCAGTCCGGGCCTACTGGGGACCAGGTGAATGAGGGCCGCGGCCTCTGAAATATTTTTGTGGATGGTGTGGCGTGCATGCGAGACGTGTAAAACGTTATGTGAAGCGGAGGGGAGGGGAGGAGGGGGAGGAATCCTTGTAGTCGATGTCGTGGTGTGTTGGTGCCACGTCGCTGGGTAGAGTATGTGTTGGTCGTCTGTGCTGGGTTTGGTGTTGGTGTTGGCACAAGGCGCCGGTAGTTGGTGTTGTACTGCTTGGTTGTTGGTGGTCGGTGCTTGTGGTCGCGTGGTCGGCCGTCAGCGCTGCATGGCTAAAATCATGCAGCGGCAAAGGCTCCCTCGAGTGTGTTCCACCATGCCGTCCGTGTCGCAGCTGTGAACCACCTTACATCGTTGGTGTCGCGGTGGAGGTATCGTCGTGGTTGGGTGGCGTCGTCGTTGGCGTCGCGTTGCGTGTCGTCGTCGCCTGTCTGTCGATGCACATTGTGTAGGAACTTTCGCAAGGAAGAGAAAAACACCCGAATGAATGCGATGTATATTCGGTTGTCAGTTCGGGCGCCTGGGGCGCCGAATGACCTGGTAACTCGGCGACCTGGCCACCTGGCCGGTGGCCCAATGCGTGAGCGGTAGTGAAGGACCGAAATATATAACCGACCGAAAGGGGATCCGTAGGTAGAGGATGAGGTGGTTGCGGTCGAAGGGCTTGTCACGCTCACAATCTAAACAGAAATGTCTGTCCACGGATGTCCAATACCTCAGAGCCGAAAGGGCAGCGGCAAGGAAACGAAAAATGATATAGAAGGGATACACACACAAAAACACAAATCGATGTGTATATATATATACATATATATACATATATTCATATATATATATATATATATATATATATTCATACATGCATACATACATACATACATACATACATACATACATACACACACATGCATACATATATATATATATATAGTATCCACACATGTTTGTGTACCTGTTCGAGCGGGCGCTCCGTGGCTAAGGAGAGGACAAGACAGCAGCAGGGGGGAGAAACAAGACGAGAAGCAGCAGCAACATGCAGTGCAGCAGGCGCGGCCGACGGCCGCCACCTGGCACCCCGGCTTTGCAGGGTGCCGCGCCCAGCGCCCAGCGCCCAGCAGGCCCGCGAGCTCGCCGAGTTCGTCCCTGCCCCGCCGCGTCGCGCGCCTGAGAAGGGCGCGCCACGCGCGCCTGGGCCCTCAGAGGGCCGCTCCGGCTGGCGGAGGGGCGGCCGCGCCGCCGCCGGCCAAACCACGGCGAGCCACGAGCGAGAGCCGCCTGCCCTCAGGCCCAGCCAGCCCGCCTCAGGCGTCACGCAGACACACACCCACGCACACACACACACACACACACACACACACACACACACACACGCACACACACACACATACCCACGCACATACCCACCCAGCACGCACACCCTCACACACATACCCACACACACACAGACACACACACACACACACACACACACACACACACACACGCACACGCACACGCACACACACACACACACACACACACACACCGCCCTGAATCCCCCCCCCAAAGACACGTCCAGCGACGATGTCGCCAGGCACGGGCTCCGGGAACAGAGGCGCGGGCCCCGTTCTCGCTCGACTCGAACTCACCGCCCCGACGGCAAGAAGGGCTGGAAAAGAACAGCCACGTGCCCGCGATCGATGCCACAAGCATTTACATGGTGCGCGCCCCCAGGAACGCTTCGGGCATTCAAGGGCGCCATCGAGAGAATGATGCGCGGCATCTCTACCGCGACTGAATGTCTCGCAGGAGGAAGAAAAAACAAAAACAAAAAAATGACATTTCATGAACCAATCACGCGCCCATGATGTCGCACGCAAGTTCATGCTCCAGTTCAAGACCAAGACCACCGCAATGATCGCGCCTGAGTTCAAGAGGAAGGACGCACCAGGCACACTGCGGGGTCTTACAAGATCACGTTTCGCCTTGGCCCAACCTGCCATGAGAGAAGCAATGTGCACGATGCGCCCACCGCCTCTGCATCTCTTGTCTCGTCACGGCACGCGCCCCAGAAACGCCGAGCGAACGGGGCGGGCATTTTTGCTCAGCGGGGCAGGTTGCTGGCCCCCCTTCTCAGATTTAAGACAGAGCGAAAACCATACACTGATGTTCAAGCGAAGAGCTGGGACACGCAGAGTCGCGGGGGGCGCGCCCAGCACAGGCGAAGTCTGGCTCGCCGCAGGCGGCGCCCGCGCCAGAGGCGCGCCATCGCGGGCAATTAGGAGGCGCTCCGGTAGAGCACGGCGTCGAGTGCTGCGGGCGATCGAGATCGGCCCTTCGCCCCCACCTTCTCGCCCCAGGCGCGCCGCAAGGACGGGGGCGGGAAGGGGCCGGCAGAATCGCGCGGCGCGCGATGTCATCGCCACTGGTCGCCCGAACAGCGTCGCCGGGACCTGGCGGGGAGACGCCGGCGACGGGAAGCGGGTCAACCCATCGACGATCGGGGCCAAGAGCACGCGAGAGATCGCGCGACGATTGGCGATCGGAGCTCGAATCAATCGCGCCGTCGTCGGGGAGAAGGGCCCTGCTACCAGGGGGGCGGCGCGGAAGACGGGGCTCCGGGCAGGGGATTGCCCCGCCCATGTCGAACCAGGAAGGCCCCCGGGGCCGCGCCGCGAAGGGGAAGAGCGCGGGCTTCTCCTCCGACGGCCGCGCCCCCCCGGATTTGGCGGAGACGGCCATGAGGCAGCGCCCGTTGGAACCGCAAGGGCAAGATTACCTTCGACGACGGTCTTGGCGGCAGCGCCGCTGTCTAGAACCAAGGACCTGGCCATGACACGCAGGTTCTGGCCCCGCACGCAGGATTTTCCCCTGCAGGGTCATATCTAGATCGCCCGGGGGGGATTCTGGCGCCAGGTCGACGGGCCCCGCAAGAACAAAAAATTGGCGTGCCAGGTCGACTCGGGGGCGCCCCGCGAGCGCAAGAATTTCTCGTGTCACGTCGACTCCAGAGTGCCCCGCGGAGGCACGAATTCCTCTCGCCAGGTCGACTCCAGAGGCCCTCGCGCACAAGGGTGGCCCCCCGGATTGCGAAGGCCGTGCTTCGCGGACAGCACAGCGGGCGAATTCGTAGAAGTTGACTCCGCAGAAGGGCCCGCAGGCGCTGCCATCGCCTGCCGAGGCGAGTCCTGGGGGGGCGGCGACGACGACGACGACGACGACGACGACGACGACGACGACGACGACGACGGCGGCGACGACGACGACGACGACGACGACGACGACGACGACTTGGCCAATGCAGGAGCAGCGACTATCCTCTCGTCACATAGTAGCTGGGGCAAGGCGCATGCGGCGCACTGAGCCCCCCCAGCAATCCAATCTTGAGACCACGCAACAGTCGGGACCTGACCACGGGGTCGTAGACGTCGACGGCGCGACCGTCGTTCGGCTGATCCAGGTAGCGGCGCGCAGTGGCGTTCGCCGCGCAGGCGTGGACCTCGGCACCGTCAGCACCCCATCGGACTTCTACGTCGGCGTTCAGGGGCAGCCGGGACAGATGTCTCTGATCGGCACGCGGGCGCCTGACCGCAATACAATTGCCTGCTTTCCGCTGGGACCGCCGTGGGAGAACGCGCTCTGCTGTGGACAGGGGCGGCGGTCGGCGCCGCGGGGGCTGCCCCCCCGCGAGCCGCGGGGCCGGGGGCGCCCGCGCCGGGAACTGCAACGGGAAATGCGAAGGGGGCACCGTCACTGGGAAGGCCGCGCAAAGGTGCCCCCCCGGACTCTCCGGCGC